CAGCCCCCGAAAAACAAGAATAGAAACGGTCAGTTTATGCTTTAAAAAATACTGGTAATCCGTTTGTATTGCAGCTTACGGTGAGATGAAAAGCGATGAGAAAAGTACAAGACTTACTGTTGACGAGAAACACTCAATGAACTCAATGAGAGTTTCCCCAGCAATCTCCAAACAGCTGGACCAAAAGTGACCTGTGTGACGTCATGGGTACAAAAGTAATCGATAAGCTACGCATACAGGTAAGAACACCAATAGTATATTATAGTCCTTTAGGAGGAGGCAGACTTAACATAGAGGGAGGCATTCTATTGGTTTGGGGGTCGTAAATACTTGTATGCATCCCTGTGGGTAATCTTATCCTGACACTGGCTTGTGCCCAAACATATTGCCACAAGAGAACAAAGGTGCAATGTTCGCTGTCCTGTTTTCCATCAACCTTCACGGGGATTTCTTAGGATAGTAGACAATTATAGGGGGGTGTAGGCACACTCTAGTTCTGAGAGATGGGAGCCACAAAGTACAACCAATGACAAGTGATCATCTGAGCAGTCCAGTAAGGGGTCCCATTGAGTAAGGCGTAACGCGTTCCTTCCACAGTGAATCGTCTACATCACCAAGCGTAGCTTGCGTTTGTCCAATCCCCGCTACCAACTGTGTCCTGGCTATCTGCTATTAACATTTCCGTTATGGAGCAGAATAATCCAAAGGATGGCCAAACCTACTCAGACAGAGGATCGTCACGGCATGGGTCAGCGAGCATTTGCAAGGATATCTAGGGACGTCATATGTTTCCAGGCAGCCTATTCCTTACTGCTACAAGGCCTTCTGGGTCGGCGGAGACATCTCACGATGAGTCATCTGGCAGTCTATGGGTACCATGCCCCGTCTGTAGAGCTCCCACGAGAGGGAGGGAAGAAGATATGAGTTCCTGAATGAACAGGTTGGCCTGCTGTGACGCCAGACCTACCATAATGGTGGATGTGTACGAAGCCTTCTACGAGCCGAAGGGTCGTTGCTAATATCGCACCTCACATTGCTATGGTACCTCCTGTCCAGAGCTCCGTCTACAACCCCTACTCCTATGCACAGAGCTGGGGTCCCCAGGCTGCTCAACAAGGACGGGGAGTTGTCTTGGTTGAGGCTGGCTTGCCAGAGAACATCTGGGGTGTCACCCTCAACCCTTACAGCCTGGCAGTTCTTCGACGCAGGCTCCTACACACACCTACACTTACAAAACCTGCTCTACTCTGGCGTTGACCAGATGACAAGGAAGTGTGGTTACTTAGGGGAGGCATTGCGCTGCCAAGGGCGAAATGCTCGCAACTAAAGGGATATGAAAACAACAACAACATAGAGGGAGGGGAGAGACGCAGAGAGAGAGAAATGAGAGAGAGAGAGAGAGAGAGAGAGGGGGGGGATGGGAGAGTGCTGGTAGGAAGATATTGACACAATCACAATGCAACGTCATAGATAGTTTTTCTTGTGTTTGTACGCGTGTATGTGTGTGTGACCATTTGAACATATATTATAAACATTCTTTTTTACGAACTTACTATTAATAGTGCGCACCCAGTCTTTCACCCAGTCTGTCTGTGTGTGTTGTGTGTGCGTGTGTGTGTGTGTTTGTGTGTGTGTGTGTGTGTTTTCGCAAAAAAGGGTGAGGTGGTCGTAAGGGCGAAGGGAAGTGGAGAGGAGAAGCTTGATGAACACCTGCAAGGAAACTTGGTATCCCTCCAAAAGGGACTGTTGATTGGTTGGTAACACTGCTGTGATGTCACGCTGGAGCGACAGGGTTCAATTTCTTTATAGAAGCGGATTGATATGGTAGACATTTTTTCTTTTTTTTTTCTTGTTGGGGGGGGGGGGGTAGTATAGTAAAGTCGTTTGAAATATCATTATCCAATCTCACCATGCTATTCTCTTTAAAGTAACTCAACTTTTAAATATTTAATACGAATGTTTGTAGGCTTAACACGGTGCTTGCAACAATGTGAGGTTATTTAAAGAGACAAAACGTCCGAATCTAACGTCTATATCCGATAGCACCTCGCGAAAAGGAAGACAAAAGAAAGTGAAAAGTGCCTCTTACAATGACGCAATGTGGGGGCGAGCTGAGCCTAGAACGGTCTACAATTTTCAAAAGATACAGTAACACCATAATTGGTCGTTTTTAAGGAGATGCAGTCCACCCCAGATTTCGGGGGTTTCCAGAAATTTTGACCTACACCAAAAGTGGACATTGCCCTACCTATAGAAGAAGTTTGGTTCCATTGGTGTGTATATTTGTTTGGTTAAAAAGAAAACTCTCTTTGTCTTTAAAAAAACTGAACAAAGGGTCCAAACACTTTACTTTTGATTTTCTCTAAACAGCATTTTTCTGGATAGTACCCTTGTTCTTCAAAAAGACCAATTATGAGTTCATCTTCACGCTGATTCAGAGATACACCTAGGTGATCCAGGTGAGCGCTGACTGAGCAGATAGGACTTTGTACCTCTGAGGTAGAGAGTTGACGTCTGCGCAACACGGAAGGTCCAGAAGACAGATGGACGTCGATAACGACTCCTCCATCACTGGTCAGTGCCGGGCTGGTCAGTCTGTCAGTGCTGTAACCAGAGACGGTGTCGTCCGGTCATCATCTAGTCATCTGGGTCTTCAGAAGATATTCGGAGACATTCTCCCGCACACAGATGCATTGCTTTGGAGGTCAAACTGCGTATTGCTTGCTGCAGATCACGCATAACATAGCCACCAAAACTGTTGCAAAGCAATTATTTAAAAAAAACAACAACGTCAAACCTAACAGCAAAATATCAAATTATGTGTTAAAACAAGGGGGCATTCCCCC